ATTACAATGAGGCTGCATGTAAAGAAAGTGTCAGGGCGAAAAAGAATTGTCGTCTCACAATACAGAAGAGGAAACTTAGTTGGCTTATCAATGTTCTGGGTTGTAAGGATAAGTTTGCTACAAGTTTTGTCCTTGGTTGTAAGGATAAGTTAGCTAGAAGTTTTGAGGGAATTTCAAGTTTTGTCAAGGGCCTATATGTCAACCTCCCTTCTTTCATACTGTAAAAAACCTATTCCATTGGGAAAAAACTCAACAAAACTTTGGGGAACTAAACTAGCACCAAATATGAAAGGGCACAAAGAAAGTTATAAGAAAACGTACCATCCTTGGATATATCGGTCATATCCTTCCCTGATTGCTTACCTAGTCTGTATTTCTGCAATGCAGCAAGAAACAATAAGTCGGTACAAGTGTTTGTACTTCGGTAACACCATGATCATTGATTAAGTAAAAAAAAAAAAAAAAAAACCTGCAGGTGACTCTTCAAATGAAAAAGTGTGAGGCCCTTGACATTCATTGTCCGCATAATAGCCTTTGGCGTAGCTTCTGCAAATAATTGAAGCTCTCATCATAATCCTAAACAGGTTGAAGATTCAAGGAAGCGAGAGATTGGCAACGACTAGCAGCCAACTTAGAATTTAGAAAGCAAAGCAGCTCTGATGAGCTCCATCTGATTCTAATTTGTGACTGAATCACACGCGCGCGCGCGCAGCAGGCTAGCAGCTCAAGCCTCAAATTCAATCTTTATTAATTGCTTGTTGAAACAAGTTTCAATTCAATTCAATGTTGTAGTATTATAGGCACAGCCGCAGAGCAGAGGCATAGCACAGGCAGAGAAGAAGAGGTGAAAGGGATCTGAGTTCATCTAATCAAAACCCTACCAAATAATAATAAAAAATTAAATAAGTTAAAAGAGAAGGGGGAAAAGGAAGTCTGACTGGAGGAACCGCCGAGCTGAGTGACGGCATCGACAAATCGTTCGTGAAGGTCAGCCGTCCAACGAAGACGGGGTTTGGGATCGGAAGTTAAAACGAGGCAAGGATCTCCACCTCCCCTGTGACTGTGACCTTGCATTTGCATATCTTCCCCACCAACCATGCCTCCTCCTTCGTGCATCAGTCCCGGAAACATCTTCCTCCCTCCCTCTCTCTCCCTCCAAATCCTCTCTCAAATCCCAATCTCCACAACCAGAGAGTTGTTTTTCTCCCCTCTTGCTTGGCTGGGACCTGGGCGTTGGTTATGGTAATGGAGAGTTTTGTGGATGGTGAAAGATAAAAAGCAGAGGCAAAGGTAAAAGATGAAGCCGTAATACTTACTGCGGTTACAGTACAACGCTTTTTAGAAATTTGTCCCTTTCTGCACTTGTTCTTTCCAATTTTTCTTCAATAGAAAAAGTGTGTTGCCCTCTAATAAATGTTTCTCACGTATTGGAATTTTGTTTAATAAATAATTGATATGTGGTATTAGTTAAGAGAATATATGCTTGTGTTTATCCTACATTAGTGCATGCACCCAGGAACGAAGTTAGAAATTTAACTAAGAGGGGACATCTTAAAAAATTTGAGCTCCTTTTTTGGACAAATAAAGCTAGTTGTTTTACAAATGCTGAAAAAATTAATTACAAAATGCCTAATTTTATTACTCTATTATCTAATTTTGTCTTTAATTGTTGACAATCTAATGCTCATTTGTACTAATTAACCAATTACATGCAACTCAACAAGGTTTAGATATTAGTGCGTGAGAAAAATATACAAGATGGAGGGACATTTAAAAACTAAAAGAGGATTTTCACTATTTTAATATGATTAATTGAATAATCTACAAAGCAAAAAAAATGGGAATGATTAATTGAATAATTTGTAATGAAAAAAAAAGAGATGAGAGGGGGCACGTGCACCCACGGGGCCTTACCTCCCTCCGTCCATGCATGCACACCCATGTAGATTGCGTGCTTGCTTGTATAGTAATTAATAGTTAGTATTGTCCAGGTCCGGTTGTTGATAGAAATAACATGAAACATTTGAATTGTCTGTTAGAATGAGGTAATATTGGTACATAATTGTAAATGATTGCACCCCAAGCAAATCCTCCTCCTCTAACCGTTGCATTACTACTACTCTTACCACCATCATCCCTGCACCACTGTTTCCCTGTTGTGGTCTCATCACCCCTCCTCAATGTAGCTATATCCCACACAAATATGTTCGCAAACACCCAAGTCCACTAAGATTTTATTTTTCTTCACCTCCTCTTAGCTCTCCTATTCTCACGATCCGACTGCTTCTGCTGGCCTCCTCCCCTATTCTCATTATCAACTCAATTTCTCTAATCATGCTGCCTAGGAGTCTTCTTAGCAACTCTTCAAACTCATGCATGATATACCCGTTTGAAGTGCCAAATCCAAACCCTACATGGAAGCGATGCACTTGAATCGGCACATCCATGTTTATTGCAGCATGGTTCATACGGTTCATAACCTTGGCCCAAAACATGGTTCATACGGTTCATAAGCTCGGCCCAAAACAATATTTGGGCCCAAACAACAACACACATAACTAATCCTAATATATTAGGGTTCATACAATTATGTTCATTTTGGCCATGAACAAATTCCGGATTCATGAGAGTTTAGAGAATTTAGTCATCTTATACTCATAGAAGCGACCCACTTCTACTCTAACATAGGTGACCATTAATTAAGAATACTCTGCAATATTCCTCTTATTTATAAGATATCACTGTCATTAAGTATAAATATACATCCTAAAACTTTTGCAGATAACACACTTCTTCCACCATAGAAACGAGGTATATAGTGTGTTAGATTAAATATAGAAATATAGAGAATAATCCGAATGATGACTTTGAGGTACGACTTGAATCGTTTCCTTAAAGTGTTATTTGCCCTCACTCGAATGAGTTTGCTAAAAGGTTCTTGGCAAATCACTTCCAGGATACAATAAAGTATGGAATATTCGATTAGCAAAACCGAATTGTATTCCCTTAGAAATAACTAGAAAGAAATTGTATGAATATGATGAGGAGAGAAATGAGAGCAAAGAAATTATGTAGACAACAAATTTCTGAAATTGTGTATGAAACATTATGCCACAATAGGTATTTATAGGCATTAAGGCACCCGTTCATCGAGTCCTTTCATTTTAATTGAAGATATACAACTCTTCTTAAAAGTGTTGATCTAAAAGACATGTCTTCTATTTAGAATTTTCAGAAAATAAATATTGACTAATTATATCTTTTAATTTTACTCATACAATTTGAGTAAGCATCATATCTTTTAACCATAAGTTGTAACCATTCAACAAGATGTGCAAAGGTTGAAATCCAACCTTTCCGCCTGTAGGCTTGTTGCGCATCGCAGCAGCCTTTCCCTATTATACATACAGATATGCTGCACAATGCAGCACCAAGTCTATTATATATATATATATATATATATATATATATATATATATTATTGAAATCTTTAACATAGTGTGTTAACTTCTTTGAATCACACCCAACCAATTTGCATATTGAACTTAGACCATGGGATCTCCAATAAACTAAGTTAGGTTTCCATCCGGATGATTCATTAGTTATGTTTTAGGTTTCCGTCCGGATGATTCATTAGTTATGTTGGCTTTAGCCTCATTCCTCTCGATGATCAACTTACTCTCTAGTCTAACCTTTAATAATTGGATCCACTACTAGGTTGGCTATTTTTAATGGTATGCACAATCCATCTAATGAAATTATATTTCGTATGAGAGTAGTTGTTTCTCAATTTCAAGTCCTCAAAAGTATATATATGTTGGAACTTTTGTAAGTAATTTTCTAACACTAGGAAGTAGACTTCCCTCACATTTAAGGTATTTGAAGAAGATCTCTAACCTCTTTGCACCTTAAAATTATTCAAGAGAAGAGGTGACATCTTGAATGTCTCATTCAATTAGCAAATTACTTTTAACATACCCCCACAATTATTTCATAATTGTAGTTTCTTTTAATGCTATAATTAAATCGATCACATTTTCCACTTTAAGAAGTAGGAAACAACTAAGATAGACCTTATCTATCTTAGGCCTTCATGCCTCATTAGAAATTATGAGAAAATCACTTCTTGGCTTTTATTCTTTCCTTACTATGACTAACATGCATGACCCAATGGCCATATCCAATCATATGCTTACTTAATAAGCATCATTATGTCGAATTCAAATCTGCAAAATGTCCATTCATATGCTTACTTAATAAGCATCATTATGTCAAATTCAAATATGTGAAATGTTTCACATTTTCAGTATGGTCTTGTCCTTTCTGAAAGACCCCACACTTTCATGATTATTTCTTTATATTAATATCACTTTAAATGACACTCAATATCATCCTGGGCCTTTTGAAATTTATAAATATATCACTTCAAATAAAGCATATATATGATTTTGCAACATTATTATCACTATATGATAATACATCCAGTTGGAATGTAGAAATTTACATACCAGCCCATGAACACATTTGAATATGTCAATGACTAGTTGGAAAGGTCATACCCTTTCACTGTCTAAAGTAGGGGTGGGTTCAAATAACCGAAAACCGAAAAAAACCGAAAACCAAACCGAACCGAGGCCGAAAAAAACCGAACCGAAACTGCCAAACCGAACCGAACCGAACCTGGCTGGTTCGGTTTCGGTTTTTAAGGTTCGAAAACCGAACCAAACCGAACATATATATATATTTAATTTTTTTTTCAATATTATAAATAATTTAGTGATACAATCATAACAAGACATAACCAGGTACCAAGTTGGTTTGCTTGAAACTCTTCAAGCCCCTGCGCATGGGTTCGAATCCTCATGCCTCCAGGGTTTCAAAAAAGTTTTTTAGTTTTTTTGAGCAATCAACAAACCTTTTAAGTTTTAACCCTAGCCGCACCTTTTATTTTTTTCATTCCTCTCTTCTCTCTCTCATTCCCTGCCTCCAGTGTAACCTAGCCCAGTAACCTTCTCGCGCAGCCGAGCCTCATCTCTCTCACTCTCTCTGTCTCTCTGTGAAGAGCTTCATCGAAGCCAAGCGCAAGGAACGCGAGGCTCGCGAGAAGGACGAGTAGTACTGGTGCGAGGTGAAGGGCAGCAAATCCCCCGTGGCCAAGAAGCGCGAGGAAGGATTTGGGGGTCACCGACTCCCTGGGATGGCTGCAACGAGAATGCTTCATCAGCAAATCCCCCGCGGCCAAGAAGCGCGAGGAAGAAGCCGAGAAGCTGGCGGAGGCTGCCACGCGGAAGTCCGAGGCCCGCCGATTGGCGGATCTGGAGGAGAAGGATCTCCCTATCCTCTCTCTTCTCTCTCTCGCTCTTCTTCCGCATAAGATCTCTCTCGCTCTCTCCGCCGTCGACCTCCCGCCTCACATTGACTGAGGTAATATTCATCTGCTCTGCTCATTTGGTATTTCGTCGAGCTCCGTGGTTTTGCTCAATTGGGTTATTTTCGATTTTTTTTGTTTATGGATATTTTTCGATATTGTTTTTGCATGATTCGATTTAGGTTCTGTGTGTTGCGGTGTTTGATTCAGAAAGGTTGCTCATTTACTTGTGATGCTGTTTGGGTGTGCTGGAATGTGTAGATCTTTGTAGTTTCTCACTGCTTGCTGTAGATCTGATTGGAATCGGTTTTTTAATTGCGAATTTGGATCTTATGATTTGAGATTTGCATTCTGTGGGTTGTAGAAATGGGATTGTTTAGCTGAATTTTGAAGAAATCATCTTTCATTTGCTTTAAAAAACTGTGGATCTGCAAAAATTGTAATGAGTTTTTTCGTCGATTAAACTTATAGATCTTTGCGTTTACCTATCTCACACTTAGCTACAATTCTCTGTTTTAGTTTCATGAATCAGTATTATACTTTAAAATCGAAAAGGTTTTGACTTTTGGGCCTATTGTTCGATATGGTTGTCGGTAGGAGACGCACTGATGGCTAGGCCCTTGTTTCCGTGGTTAATCTTTGCGTTCATTTATGTTTTTTTTCCTTCACCATGGATCACCAATTTGTCTCCTAGATTTGGATATCATACTGCACTCTGAATGGGATATATGACACCTGTGAGTACATCGAATACATTGTTACAATGAATGTCATAATAGTGTACTTTTAGTCTTTTACTATCATGAATGTTTGGCACGGACGGGAACTACTTTAGTTTCCCACACATTTAGTAAAAATTTGGTAGTATGTTAGCTACGCTAAATGCTTATCCCAGCATATAATTTGATTTAGCGATTGACATCAAATTTTATATTGGAATGCTCCATTGACACCTTTCCGTGTTTGAAATTTATAGATCCAAGATGTGGAAGGGGTAGAACTATGTGGAACCCTGAAAAATGTTGTGGCCATAGCAGCAGGTTTTTGTGGATGGGTTGGAGATGGGAAATAACACAAAGGTAAGCTCAAAAATTTTGGTAAAAGTTGAACCCACATCTCATCTGCTTTTTCTATGTCATTGTGACTGCTTATTTTGAATGACCAGGCTGCAATTATGAGAATCGGTCTAAGAGAGATGAAGGCATTTTCCAAGATGTTATTTTCATCAATCGGTATTGTTTTCTTCGCTAGTAACTATGTACTATAGTTGCTGGAAATTTCAATTATGCCAAGTATGTGTGCCAAAAATATAATCTGAAATTTCAATTATGCCAAGTATGTGTGCCAATTATGTCATGTTCTTATTTTTATTTTTATTTGTATGTAGAAATGGCAAGGGGAAGCTCAAAGAAAGGTGCTATGTTGCCTCCTAGGCCGCCTATGCGTTGAGCTTGAGCTTGAAGACTTGGAAGATTTTATTTGTGCAAGACATGAAGTGATGAAACCTTGAAGGTTTATTTGACTTGTGTGATGTTTAAATTTGGACTTTTTGAAGACTTAAACTTTGATGTTTAATTTGGACTTTTTGAAGACTTAAACTTGATTGACGATTGATTCTATTTATAGTTGGACTTTAAGTTTTATGGGACTTTAAGTTTTATGAGACTTTTAGTTTTATGAGACTTTATACGTAGAGATGGAAACATGTCATATTTTCTATTCCTATATTATGTTGTGCTTGTTTTGCATTTTTGGAGGGGAAAAAAAAAAAAACCGAAAAAAAACCGAAACCGAACCGAAAAAAAAACCGAACCGAAAAAAACCGAAAAAAATTTGGGCCGAACCGAAATTTCGGTTTGGTTTCGGTTTTGGCAAAAAACCGAACCGATAAGAACCGAACCCAGCCCTAGTCTAAAGCACTTCAAATGGCATGCTTTTTCTTTCTTATTTTTTTTTTTTTGGCAAACAGAGCTACATTAACTAGGCAAGAGAGGCCCAAAAGTACAACGAAAGCCGAAACAACAGCAATCACCCAAATACAACCAGGAAGTACGGGGTTAGACTACCCGACACTCAAAGCAAGGTTCAAGTGTCCCCTCTAGCACCTCCCCCACAAATGGCATGCTTTTTCTTTGAATCTCACATGGCAGATTCCAGTTTTCTGTTCCACCACATTATGAAACCATCGATTTGTCAAATAGTTGCATCATTTTGCAACTTAACCGCCACACGGCTCTAAATGATCCAAGGTTAACCTCCACATGGTTCTATATGATCTAAGATCCTTGACTCAAATGGATATCAAACTGTCAAGCATGGAAGTCGCGGTCTCACCGTTGCTCTTTTTCTGGAATCTCCAATTGGTCAGTTGTTACGGGGTTCTACATATACCACATGTATTTTAAGGAACACCCAATGAATCAATCCCAACCAAATCAAGGCATGCATCGTCCATGTCAATCTAAATATGAGTCTATATGTGTAACTATTAACGTCAGTTAACAAAGCATTTAGATAATTAAATAAAGGCTTTTTATATTAGCACCCTATAAAATGTTGAATGCACCCCATATTAAAATTTAATATTAAATAACTTATTTATCCTACTATGCAATGACAATTTTGACCTTGTTAGGTTAAAAAAAAAAGTAAAAAATTCTATATACACCCCAAATCACTTTTAATGTATTATTTATCTTCTTCAACTATCAAAACCCATCCGACCATCTATTGTTGAACAAAACCCTAACCAATGAAACTACAAACATGTTGATTGAGAAAAATTATTTTTAACGAATAAAACACGAAATCGATGTTTCAGAAGCTTTACATGCGGTAGACTTCATATTATTTATTGTTTTAGTGATTTTGACAATATTAATAATTATTTAATCTTGCTTTTGATGCGTTATTCAAGCTTCTTTGTTCGTATTCATCTTTTAGGGATCGCATGGATTACATGAAAAATTAAACACCTAAAATTACCACCAAATATTAAAAACAGATGACATGAGTTATAATGGTGGAATTAAAAACAACCCACATATGCTTTAAATCCCAGGCGGCATCTTTTGTCAAACTTTTAGTCGGCATTATTTGTCCAAATTAAAAGTTTTGTAAGATTTGAGAAATGTGGGGTGTATAGAAAATATGAGGTGCATATAGAAAATGAAAGGTGTATATGAAGAATGTGGGGTGTGAGGGTATTATGGGGAAGTATGTGGGGTGTATTAAGATAATTTTTAATTAAAAAAGAAAATGTGGGGTGTATTAAATATGTGGGGTTTATTCAACAATTTGTGGAGTGTTAATATAATAAGCCTTAAATAAATAACATAGCAACAAGTATTTTAGTAAAGTAACCGCATGCACCACTTCAAGCATGCTTTTAGAAATAAGAACAATCACAACAACGTTCGCAAAAGATACATACCTTTTGCATTAGACGGGACAAATTGCAATTATAACAACCTCATGCCATGTTACACACACACACTAATGGACAACAGAATCATTCATCAAGAATGTGCAGTATAAGGCAGCGGTACTGCACTTTCAATATCATATTTATACATATCAAGTAATCGGACTTTTCCAAAATTTGTCGAATAAATTGCACACACACAGTCATATTTCTAATTGTTCCATAAAGGTAAAATTTTTTGTCTTTAGATTGATGGAGCAATATTAGAAAATATGAAAAAATAACAATATAATTCAAATGATAATAATCATGAAAAATTTCACAACATCAATTATATATAAGATTAATATAAATAACTAGAAAGAAAGTTAGAAATACTAACAAACTTGGAGTTTGAGGCTTGCATAAATGCAATGTCCTAAAGATATAATTTTGCCCATACTCTTGTGCTTGTAGTTTGGTAGGCGTCCGTCTCCTAGGATTCAACAATCTATAATCTGAAGTCAAAACACTTCAATTTTCATGCTCTGGTGAACTTCATATATTCCGTATTTTTAAGACAACACTCGGATTTTTAGACATTGGAGAAAACTCTTCTCTTTTTCTAATTGGACAGGTGAGATGCTTTAGTTTATATAGAACTCAAGCCACCCTTTTTGAAACATTATGATTGTTGCCTAAAGTTCCAATGAATAGATACAACTCATGAATTTTAATTCAACTATGACACAAGACTCTTATTTTTCATTCATACAAAAATTAAATATTATAATATATAATTTCCAACAGTTTTGCTGATTCAGCTTAGTCAGTACCATACCAGCAATATGCTGGACAATGATCGAAGCCAGAGAGATCGAGAAGGAATTAGAAGCATCTCCAGGATGATTAAGACCAGAAGAGGTGGCCGGAGAGGAAGAGTCGGCGGAATTTATCGCAATTATGCAGAAGATTTGCAAGAAGAAGAAGAAAAATTAGGTAAGAAGATTTGTTTGGCAAACAAGAAAATTGTAGAAAATCGGAAGCAAAAGATCGAATCGTCATGAGACTATGGCGGCGATACCATGTAGAAATCCAATATCTTGCAAAATCAAGAGAGAGAGAGAGAGAGAGAGAGAGAGAGAGAGAGAGAGAGAGAGAGAGAGAGAGAGTTTATAGAGAGAGAATGGATATGTGAAGAATGAATTCTTATTAGCTTTCACAGTACACTCTATAGAAGGATATAGACTTATAAATAACTGTCTATTGCCTAGTCATCAATCTTACATAACAACCTTATCTACCAATTACTTAATCACTAAGGTAAGTATTAATATGGTGCCTTGAGTGCACAGCGATATGATGATCCTCTATTATCCTTAACAAAATTATGGTGAATTTATCCCACTCGCCCTGTCCTCGCTCAACCTCCCTAATCTTGTTCAACGCTTTTGAATGGTCTGAAAAACAAGGAAAAGCAATAAAAAAAATAAAAAAAAGGAGAAAAAGATGTCGGAAGGACCACAATTTTTTTCCAAAAAAAAAAAACAGGAGAGAGAGACCGTGGGCTTGGATTTGAATTTCAAAGCTTGGTAAAAAGAAACAAGTATGATGGCACGCGGCTATTCCAAAAGTAACTGGATGGATTGGATAAGGATTGGACTATCGGAGTTGGACTGAAAAAATAAAAAAAAGGGAATCGTATTGGTTGGCGCCAAAACTATTTATCTTCCTCTTCTATCTGCAGACTGCATTCCTTATCATATTCTATATTCAAAGCAATTTTACTTTAATTTGGAAAATGACTAAAGCCTAAGGTAATTATTGAGTCTGTCAGTATTGAGTATCCGAAACTTAGCGAGCGAGGGCCGAGAGAGTCCCGAGCCGAGAGGAAGGGAGGAGAAATTCTGGGTAGAGAGACCACGTGTCCTTCACTGATAGGATTAAAAGTATACCACAAAGTAGCATACAAATATTCTATTGATTTTCCTTATTAAAGCTAAAATTTGTCAATTGTAGCATATGAAAATAAGGGTTTTTTCCGCAGAAGATTGTTTTATCTAACTATTTAAAATGTCACAAAAACTGGGCTGATGTCCCTACTGACCAGCCATCGGAAAATAATTATTAGACCAACTTACACTTATCTAAAGTCTACTAAATTTTATATGAAGATACTAGACACATAGAGCTACACTCACACAAATTTTTGGGATTTTTGGAGTTGATTTGCTATTTAAATTAAATCGAACAAAAATAGGACAGAAACAAATCTTAAATAGTTCACAAATTAAGAAAAACGAGTTAGGGGAATTGATATCCACCACCAAATAATCATGCAAACATGTTATGTTTCATTCAAATTCCTTTTATTTCTGGATGAAGATGCTCAAGTTGGCTCAATGTTAGAACTCAACCTATTACTCTTTCTTATGTAGTATGTTAAGAGAATGACGTTTTCAACTTAACTTAGTCTCTATCATGCAATCTAGAATGATGTGTTCACAAATTTAACAAGTAGAAATAATTAAGAACAAAAAGAGTTTGAGTTATTACAAGGCATCGTAAGTACTAGCGTTGTCTTACTTATCCTAGAAATTAGTTTATATGTTAATCGCAATTACCAAGTACTACTCTATAACATATGTAGGTCCTCATTCGACAAGGGCAGACATACACATATTCATAGCATTAGAATCCTAGATATGCTTACTAAGTATGCATCCGTAGAAAACACATAAAGAATTCATCAATAAGATAAGTAGTGAACTAATTTTCATCTATTCATAAAAGTAATTCAAACAAAATGTCATAACAAACTTGCAATCATATTTGGGGCTTCAAAACAGCCCCTAACTACTAAAAATTAGTTACACAGAGTCCTTAAATAAAACCAAAAGAAAGACATGAGTTTGAGAAGATAAAACCGAAAAAAGAGAATGCCAGGATTTCCTCCTTCCTCCCTTCCTTCTCCAACGCCGATGCCTTGTCTTTTCTTTCTATTCTATTTTTTTTCCACCCTTTGCCGTTGCAACCTGCAACCTTTTTGTTCTTGCTTGCTACCCCAGTTTCTTCTCCATAACTCACCCTACTAACAACCATTTAGTGATGACAATAAGTGAGAGGAAATGGTTAAACAATTGTAACTCTTTAGGTAGCATTTATGCCCATTACTCCCACTTAATTCTCATCTTTATTTCCATT